TCTCCCAGCCACTCCTCTTCTGCCCTGCCCGGGCTCCTGAGGGCCCCAACAGGAAGCAGTTGCTGGAGCTAAGCAGCCCCCAGGAGAAAGAGTTGGCAAAACAGCTCAAATTGGATCTGGCTGAGAAGGAGGCTCAGCAGAATCACCTCACTGAGGACTACGAGCATAGGCTTTCCAAGCAGAGGGAAGACCTGCAGGAGTGCAAGGCCAGGTACCGGCACCTGGAGGCTCAGCGGGCTGAGATGGTCAGCCAGTTCCAGGCCATGATGCAGTCCCACTGGAACGAGGCCCTCCAGCTCTTTGCCATCAGCGGTGTGTCCCTCCAGCCTTTGCCCAAAGCCCCCCATCAGGAGGCTGAAGCAGACCCCAAATTGGAATTTCTGCCCCCCTCTGACCCTCACAAAAAGACCCCGAAGGGGGAGACTCTCTGCAGCAACACAAGCGTTCATTGCACATATCCATCCCAGGGTCCATAGTTTGAGGACCCCTGATTTAGTGTAGTATAAAAAATGCAAATACTTTTTTCTGCGGACCATCAGTTGGTGGCTGATGGTCTATCTAATCATTTAAAGACCCCATATTCTCTTGTGGGATGGAGTCTGGGCAACTGAATGGAGCTAGCAGAGCGTTTTAATGGCCATATGCCCTTCCTGTCGCCAGGGTGGAGTTTTGTTCTCTCTCCTCCTCTCCCCTTCTCTTTCCTCCCCTTTTCTCCCCTCCCCTCCGTCCTCTCCCTACCTTTTCTTCTCCTCTCCTCCCTTTCCCTCCCCATTCCTCCCCTCCTCTCCCTTTCTCTTCCTCCCTTTTCTCTCCTCTCCTCAAGTATGAAAAGATTTTCTTGCATCCGGGGTCAGCGCAGAGCATGAGTTTAATTCTCACAACCAGAACCCGGTTGATGAAGCTGTTATGCCCGCCTGTGGGTGTGTTTAGTTAGGACCAAACGATGCTTCCTGGCACCATACCAAAAGCCCATTATTTCTGTATATGTGAGTCTTAATTTCTGTGTTATTGCTTTTTTAACACGAAGCATGGTGTTCCGTACGTTGCTTAGTTGAGTTTCATGCTTACCGTTTGGAAAACTGGGCTGATGCCTGCCTGTCAACTCTCAGTGTTGTCATGGGAACAGAAGGAGGGGGAGTGCATGCCACACATACTGTGGGCTGGAGTTAGATCTCAGATTACTGCAGCCAGTTTGGGAGGGGTGTACCTCATTGGGGAATGTGATTTATGACACAGACTGAGGGGAGGGAAGGAACAAGGGGTAAAGTTCAGCAATAAATCAAACAAAGCACAGGCTTGACTGTGAACAGATATTACCTAATGGCGTCCCTAATAAATCACTGGTTTTGTATTGAAAACTTGACTTGATACTTAGGGCATTGTTAGGAAATCTAACTCTGTCATTGCCAGGGGCTTGGTGCAGTTGCATGACGCAGCCTATGGAATTCAGCCCCTCAACGAAACTTTTGAACATGCTGTTTACCGGATGGAGAATGTGATGGAAGAGCCCCGTAGCTGTGGCGTCTCTCATCTGGATGGAAAGTGGGACACCACAGATGTTCAGCACCACCCAGATGTTTCACCAAGGACGAGAGTAGGTGCCCTTCGGAAAGATTTTCATTGTTTAGGGCTTGCTTTTTGCAGGAAGGTTTTTGTCACCTTTTGTTTTTAAATTCCCCTCTTGGTTAAATTTAATGGAAGAAGAAGAAAAAAATACATTGAATTGTCTGTGTAAGGAGATAATTAAAAAGCCCCGGACACAATATGTGTGTTGGGCGTGAAAGACATCTGGGTGAGTTTGGACGACAGATGTCACTCTGAGCTTGCTTGTTTTCTTGCAAACGTTTCATTACCCAAATGAGGTACAGTGACATCATCACTAGCACTGATGAGGTTATCCAGTTGGGTAATGAAACATCGGCAAGAAAACGACCAAGCTCAGNTATGTTATATTTATCTCACAAGCTCTGTGATTTAAAAACCAGAGTATTTGTTTTATAAGAGAACATGTCTTCTTCTGTTACAGGTTTTCAGTCACTTTCTGAACTGTTCTCCTATGAAATTGTTGTCCCGAAGTGGATAGAAGAAAAACAGCAAACTTCAGAGCAACACTTCATGGTATTTAAGCATGGAGGAGCTTCCATGAATCAAATTAAGGAATTAATGGGAATATTGTGCGCAGATATTGGGAAACCACCACAGATGACAAATACTATACTCTCTGTGCTGCGTTTTTCAAGATGGGTGTAGGGTGTGAGCAGGTATAATGAGGCAGGGCAGAGGGAATGTTTGCAAACGGCCTTCTTGTGTTAGAATTGAAAGTTGTATATAGATGTTGGGGGCATCCTACAAATTTGTAGGAAAGCCTCGCAGGCCTCACAAATCGGTCATGCCAACCTCTTCCAATAATCTCCACTGTAGTGTTTCTCAACCTTGGCAGCTTGAAGATGTGTGGACTTCAACTCCCAGAATGCTGACTGAGGAATTCTGGGAATCGAAGTCCATGTCAGGCTTCTGAGGGATGCCCTAATCATGAGCCTTGAGCCAAGCTTCAAAAGAAATCCAGTTATTTATTAGGAGCAACATGTCGGCACCTACCCAAGTGAAGCCAGCTCTTACCCCACGTAATTTATGGCCCAATTATGACCCTGTTTCCCCCCCCTTCCCTCAGGGTGTGTCATAAATCACATTCTCCAATGAAGCTCTTTAGGGGACTGTAGAGATCACGCCCTTCCGGCTGTTGCAGGTAACCTGGGATACAGCCTTGAGAAAGGTATGCGTGGAATGTGCTTCTGGTTGTGGCTGCCATACTGCTCCATCAGTTTCCTCCCCTCTTGCCCATGGCAACTCAAGAGCAGGCCAGGGATGCTTTACGTGTTGACACATCTTCCACACATCTTCAAGTTGAGAAGGTTGATAAACACTGCTCCGCTCCCTGGGATATAGTTCTCTCAGCCAGATCTTTGGTTTCTGGAGATGAGGGGAATGCTTATCAGCATTGTGAAGCCCAGTCTTATCATTCTGAAAATAGGCCCAGAAATGTATCTCTTGGGGAAGAAATCAGCAGATAACAATCTACTGGAGCTTTGAGCTTCCTTGCACAATATTCAAGTCTAATCAAGTGATTTTTTGCTCCTAAAGCAAACAAAATTCCACAAAGGTCTTCCCTGATTCCTGGCAATTAAAAAAAAATATTGCAAAAATCGGTGTAAATTATCCTCAGCAATTTGCTTAGGGATTCATAAATGCTTTGATAAATAATGAATTATATTGAAACTCAAGGAAAATTCTCCTTGTATCTCTGATAAACATGCCGGTGTCTGGGCTCCAAGGGAATGCTGTATGTTTTCTTACAAAATAAAAATGATTGGCAGCTGCGACACAATGCTGTGTTTCAAATCCATCCGAATTGCAATCCTAGATCAGCCTCAAGGGATGGACCACAGTCATGAGGGAGAAACCTAACAGACACAACCAATAGGAAGCCTACAATTTTATTTAGTGGAGCATAATTTATTCAGTTTACTCCAAATTGACCCCGGACAGCATACAAAGTCATCTGTTCTGACCCAGCTCCTAAACACAACAAACCCTCTGTAGTTAATTAAATGTCCCCTTTTATTAGGAGTGTCAGCAGTCCCGGGAAAAAGTCTCTCTCTCTTTCTCACACCGTAGGCTAACATGTCTGTCCAGTAGGAGATGAATGGTTCTCTGCCACATCTATTCATCTCCTCCCCCTGCCTTTTACCCCCAGAGCTAGGATGGGGCTTCATTAGCGGTGGCTCTTCCGTCCCAAGGACCGGCCCATAGATTTCCACTGCTCTCCTTTCCTCTGCCTTTTTTGCATCCACGTGTCAGGCACTGGACCCAGCTGTTCCTCCTTTTCCTCATCAGCCACCTCCAGACCTGGGGGCTGTTGACTCTCCATCTGAGGCTGATGGACAGCCCAGGCTCCGCCTCTGTCTCTCTGACAGCTCCATTCCCTCTTCCCCCTCATAGCTCTCAGGTTGCCTTGATGCTGACCCACACTCCTCCTCCTCTGATTCGGCTGCTAGAGGGGCCACAACACAAATTGGAAAATAGAATATAATAAAGATTAAAAAGGAAAGCATTATAGAAGAGGTTAAATCTAAAAACAACATAAGATGTATAAAATGCCTCTCCCCCCAAGAACACACACATACGTACACATATATAATGCATACATACACATACACGGAGGGAGGGAGGGAGAGAGAGAGAGAGAGAGAGGGAGGGGCAGGGAGGAAGGGAGGATGTGAAATATTTATTAAATATTGCTGCTTGATTCTCCCTGTTCATTTATTTGGGACTGGGTCACTATGTATGATTGAAACTCCCGCTAATATTGCTTTCTCCCTCTATGTTTTCAGGACAAATTATCATTCAATATTAAAATTGAAGAAAAAGAATATATTATTCATTTAAGAAGGAACAGGTAAGTGATTCCTTTCTGGCTGTAGGTCAGTGGTGGTATTCAAATTGTTTTTACTACCGGTTCTGTGGGCGTGGCTTGGTGGGCGTGGTAGGGGAAGGATACTGCAAAATCTCCATTTCCTCCTGATCAGCTGGGACTTGGGAGGCAGAGAATAGATGGGGGCGGAGCCAGCCAGAGGTGGCATTTACCAGTTCTCCAAACTACTCAAAATTTCCACTATCAGTTCTCCAGAACTGGTCAGAACCGGCTGAATCCCACCTCTGCTATAGGTCTATGGAGATTCTCAGTCATCCAGGTCATAGTTGTCCCAAAGGTGTTTTTGAGAGACGGCTGGACTTTCTGGTTTTTCTTTGAAGATGTTTTGCTTCTCATCCAAGAAGCTTCTTCAGTTCTGTGCATAGCTAAACGTCCATGGAGATTCTCAGTCATCCAGTTCATAGTTTTTCTCAAAGGTGCTTTTTCCAAGCCTCTTCTTGAAAGCCTCCAGGGATGAGGTTCCCTCAGCTTCGGAGGGCAACCTCTGTTCCATTGCTTGATTGCTCTCACTCTCAGAAAATTCCTCCTTATTTCCAGGTTGAATCTCTCCTTGGTCAGTTTCCATCCATTATTCCTTCTTTGTCTGGCTTTTGTCGTTTTTGTCGTTGTTGTTATCCTTCAGCTCACGTTGCTCTTCTTTTGATTTTTTTTTAAAAAAAAGCACTTTCTGCTTGGCATTCATACACTTTCCCCCTCCCTCCTTTTAGAGATCTGGTGTCCCAAGATTTCACTATGAACACCTACGATAAAGATGGAAATCTGAAAATTGAAACTCCAAATCTTCAGGTGCGTTTTATTTTTCTTCGAGGGTTGATAAATTAAAGAAAAAGAATGTTTTAAAGAATTTGCTGTGGCCTGCCAGCCTTGGGGATGAGGCCAGAAGAACGTTGATGGGGGTGGGTGGGCTTTCTCTCCACGTCCTTTGTAACCCCTCTTAGGGCCTGTGGGGAGAGGCGTTCAGTGTCTCTGTGTGTGCGCATATACGTATGGAAAGAGAGGGATTTTTTTCTTCTACTTCTCTTTCAGTTTGTTAAGAGAGACTTTGTTCTGACCCAGGCTTCCCCAAAAAGCACGAGGCAGAGTCCTGGTCCTGACAAAACCCCTTTTATTAAACAAATGTGAATTCCTCTCCTTCACATTCAGCAAAGGCCTGGTAAACAGTCTCTCAAAAGTGAAGTTATGACCGCAGACCTTATCTAGCTTGGAAAGCTGCCGTGTAAATATTTCCCAAATGAGGTGCTGTGCGAGGAAAGACTGGGCACAGAGTCTCTGAGATTCACAGACAGATTTCCACACTCCTGAAATGAACAAATGAACGAACGAACGAACGAACAAATTGTTTCCTGCAAAAGCCCACTCCCCTTTCGCTCCTCTTTTATTTCATATGGGAGGGGCCATTCACTGTCCACCTGTGGCCTTATTCCCAAGTTGACCCTGATTTCTTAGCTGTTCTTTTCTTCTGGCAGCTCTGTGCATGCACACATTGGGAACAGGCTCCAGCTGTTCTTCTGCTTCACTGCTGTCTAGCTTCGAAGGCAGCTGAGAACTGCCAGATGGCCTCGGCCTTGTCTCTGCCTCCCACAAAGAGCCCTCATCTGAGCCTTCCCCAACCTCCAGGACTGGCTCATGTTCCTCCCCAACTTCCTCACTGTCCGACTCTGCTGCCAGCTCTGCTGGCTGCTGGCAGGCCACAACAGACTTAAGAAATGCCATAGGTAGAGAATATAAAAGAAATTAAGAGAATTAAAAGAATTGGGTAGTCTGGCATTTATTTTAGGATGAGGGGACAGGGTACACTGGAATAGCATCAAGAAGGTCATAAAATTGGACACGTCTCATTTAACGAACATCTGGAAATTCTAGTGCCCATTGTGGCCGTACGTTGACTTACTTGTATAGACAAAACCAGGCGAAAGAAGTGGGTGGAGAAGAATGGGGAGGAAAGCTGAATTTTGATTGACTGAATGAGCGTTTCAGATTAATTCAGTGAATTCTATCCAGGTATTATGATTTATATCGCTTATATGAAATAAATTCCCCTTTCTGATCATCCTAGAGACGACACTGCCAACTCCTGGCGCTGTTCCAGGAAGCTTGCCCAAGACTTTTGGTAGGAGCAAATTCCACACATATAATTTGTGCACTAGCAAATGATTAATTGGACTGAGTTAAGAACGTTGATATCTCAGGACATCTTGAATGGGGTTTGTTTCCCACTCTAACTTTTGGACCTTCCGTGCCACACAACAGGCTACCTCACCTGGTGCGTGGAGATCGTGACTCTTCCATGCTCAGGCTTTTAACAGGGCCAGTTCACCTCCAAGGTGTGGCTTTACTCCTAAGTCGATCCTGCTTTCTTAGTTGTTCTTGTCTTCTGGCAGCTCTGCGCATGTGCACACTGGGAACAGGCTCCAGCTGTTCTTCTGCCTCACTGCTGTTTAACTCCCTTTCTGCCTCTGATGCAGAGCCCTCATCTGAGCTTTCCTTGGCCCCCAGGACTGGCCCATGTTCCTCCCCAACCTCCTCACTGTCCAACTCTGGCGGGCGACAACTGCTGATGTGGCCTTGTGCTCAGTTTTTATTCCTTTCTTCCCACCCATTTTAGAAGCACTGCCACTACCAGGGATATGTCGAAGGCATCGCAGATTCTATAGTTGCAGTCAGCACCTGCTTTGGACTCAGGTAACCGATCCACCTGTTGGACTTGTTTGGTAGGGAAGAAGCTGACAGGCATCGGTCCAGAAGTGAGCTTTGAACCTCCTCCCCCCACTCCCCTTTTAAAAATTGCTTGGTTGATTGGGAGTCAGCCTTGGCATCTACTCCCGTTCTTTCACTTTCACTTTCTTTTAAAAAAACTTTTTATTTTGTTTATGCAAATATCACGTCTTGGCAACACATTACACTTCTTTTACATATCTGTTGTGATTCTTTTATCTGTACATGTAAATCTTCTATAACTAACTATAACTATAACTATAACTATAACTATAACTATAACTATAACTATAACTATAACTATAACTATAACTATAACTATAACTATAA